GCTTAGACCCTTCCACCATGCTCCCCTGCCTTGGAGCCAGCCAACTATGGACTAAAACCTCCACAAATGAGTCAAAATAAATCTCTGCTCCTTTAAGTTGCAGAGATTGGGTTGTGTCTCTCTGATGAGGAAAGTGACCAAGACATCCCTGTACCTATGCATCTACCACCCCTATACCCATGCGTCCACCCACATATCCACCCCTGCACAGGTCTACCCAAGCATCTGTGCAGGCAGCGGTCCATGCCTTCACACCAGCACCATGCATCTGTCTATCCATCCATTTACCCACCTCCTCCCCAACCTGTCCATCTCTGCATCCACCCTTCTACCCAGCCACCCAACCAACAGGTGTACACCAAGGGCTTGCCATGGGCCAGGCGCTGTGGGGAATGCAGCTCGCACAGAATTCTGCTGTAAGATTCCCATAATGCCTAACTTACACAGGTGGACCCTGAGGCCACGTTACTTACCCAGAGCATCCTATTAAAGAGTGGCAGAAATGGGCTTTGATCCTGAAGGCTACCCAACCACAGGTGCTCCTCCTGCCTCTGAGCCCCTTCTGTCTCAGCCTCCTATGCCTGTTCACCTCCACCACTGGCTCATGTCTGTCCCCGGCTATATAGGAGAAGCCACACTTGGAATCAAGGCATCACCCTTCACAGACCTTGTGACCTGCAGAATCCTCTGTTGCTTCCACATGCCTTCCTGTCTCATCTGTCAAGAAGTACACAACCATGAGGTCTGTGTTTTGGCTTTAATGTCTTCAAACACTGGTGAGCAATAGCAGTGTAGTGAAAACATACTGATTATCCCTCTTCTAACAACAGGAAAAACCAACAGTGCAGACCTAGAAAAGCCCCAGGAGGGAGAGCTGCTGTCTCAGAACACAGCAGCCAGTGAGAGAGGAAACCTAATGACCACAGCTCTATTCCTGGCAACACTAAGAAAGTTTGTCCATGTCCCCTGGGGACGGCGAGGGCCACATGGAAGCCTAGACTTCCGTCCTCGCCTAACCACCTCTGCACCTTCCCACCTCTGCACCCTGCTAGGCAATGTCTCCAAAGTCTCCAGAGACTTGCTTCCCACTTCCACGGATCACAGACTACAGCAGAGCATGATAAAATTGTTAGAAAAAATGCAGGACAGTGATAGGAGGATACAGAAATGCCTCACAATGGAACACCTTCTGGCTACAAACACAACTCAGGGAACAAAGACCTAAACTCCAGAGCCAGAATCCACAGAGAAGCTGAGTGCACGCAGCTCCCAGAGGAAAGCTGGTCTGAACAGGCTCCAAACCCGAGATCCACACTGCACTGGGTAGTGATGCTGTGTCTGCACAGGTCACCTAGGGGGATGGGCGTGCCACCCTGCAGATGCAGCGGTGGGGACGCAGCACCCGGGAGGCTGTGCTGTGGGGTGGCGAGAGGGGAAACCTCAGCCCCACACACTCAGTTCCACTGTGAACCTCAAACCACTCCCCACACTCAAGCCTGCTTTAAAAAAAACTGGAAAAGCACTATTCTGTGAAAGACTCTACTGGAAAGGGGAACGGTGAGAGAAGAGAACAAGTCCAGACATGACTGTGTCAGGGAGCAGAGGCTTTCAGGAAGGAGTCTCCCACTTCAAATTCTGGTCAGAAAACCTCTACCAACCCTGTGTCCCTGAAACACATCTGTCCTTTCAGAGAGACACCACTGTGTGTGACTGTTACCAGGCAGACCATGTCCCTCAGATTCCATCTTGGAGCTCCTGTGTCCTGTGTGGACAGATGCCATCTGTGTCCTCAGCCACCGAGAGCTCGGGGACACAGAGGTGAACAGGGAGGCTGTCCCCTCCTCTGTCTTCCTCGGGTCCATGGACCCCACAGAACCTCCCACTCCCCGCCTCCTGGGGGCTCTGCTAATGATTATAAATGGCAAACAGTCTCCAATTTAATTGCAAAAGCTAATGATGCAGGGAGCATAAGATTAGATTCACCACAGAAGGCAATATCCTCAAACAATAAAAAAAATGAGAAGCCAGAGTGAGGAGGCCGAAATCGATGGGAAGGTTCTGTATTAAATACCATAGTGGAGGGGCGCAGAGGGATATTGACAGAACTGCTGACGGCGGATAAAAAAGGAGGAGAGAAAACTAAATTGATCTCTGTAGAAGATAAGTTACAGATTAATCGCCCTACCATGAAATGCTTGGGAGATGACCTGGGTGTGCGGACGCATTTGCCACCTGATTACAGAGTAGGGTGGCGAAGGCAGGTGAATGCTACCACGCCCAGCACGCCAGAGTGGGGCCCAAACCTCTCTCAGGCACCCCGACTTGGTCCTGCCTGTGTGACCACAGTGAGGTCCTCTCGGTGTTCCTGAAGTGGCACCCCAAGGCCCAGCATGACTGCATGTGACAGGACAACATTCCTCCTTCCGAAGCTTCCAGCAGCTGGAGCCTAGCTGGAGGGTCGCCATGGCCAGAATTCGACAGACTCTGGAAGGCAGGCCACATGCATGTCCTTGGCCCTCCACCTATAGATGTCCCTGGGCTCATCTCACAACTGAGTCTCCTTCGAGCTTTCTGTTTTACCTTGAAAACGTAATGTAAAATTTTGGGTCTACTTCATACTATGGAAATCTGGCTGGTTTCCTCTTTCTTTTCACTTTTTTCTTTTCTTTTCTTTCTTTTTTTTTCTTTCTTTTTTCTCTTTTTGAGACAGAGTTTTTATTATGTAAGTTCAGGCTGGCCTTGAACTCACTTTATGGCCCAGGCTGACCTTGACCTTGCGGCAACCCTCTTGCCTCAGCCTCCTAAGTGTTGGGATTACAGGTACACACCACCAGACCCAGCCTAGGCTGATTGGGAATTAAAAACAATTTTTCCTTCAACACTAGGAAAACAGGCCAACTCTCCGTTTTTCATGAAGGGCTGTGACTTTTAAACTTTAACAAGTCACTTAATATTTTAAAAAGTCTAACTTTCCATGCCACATATTAATAATGACCAATCGTTACTCATGTCATCTCTTCAACCCAGAGGATTGAGGGACGGATTTATTAATATTGTAAAGCACCACGAGGGAAAAAAAGCTAAGTAAGCATCTAAGTGGCAAATAAATATAATGTGGACTGTTAGCAAAGAAATCCACCTGACAGATACAGCTCTCGGTTCCCTGAGAGCACCGGAGGTGACAGGGCCTTTGAATACAGGAATTAGGAGGTCTCCCTTCAGTCCCTCAGCATTTCTGTCCTGAACTTGTTACTTTGCCATAAACAAATGAGGCGCAATTATAAATTCATGTTTTAAGAAATACATTTGAAAAGAGAAAATTTCATAGGCTCGGCAACTTATAAGACCTGTTGAAAACACAACAGAGCTAGAGATGAGATACAGCTCCACAAGAAGGCCCTCCGCTTAATCTCTGGGTGCACACACACACACACACACACACACACACACTGGTGCACAGACAGAATCCCAACACTGGGGCAGTTAAGGTATGGGGACTGTTGTAGTGAGGCAGTCTGGGCTACATGAGCTCAAACTCAGCCTGACTACCCAGCAAGACCCGATTTCAAAAAACCAAAGCGTAAAACAAAATTTTAAGGACTCAAAAACACATACCAGTATCCGCTCTATAGAAAACAAAATATTCAAAGTGATGAATAATCATTTTTATGACTCATGCAAATACATTAAAAAGCTAGCTAACATCGTGAAGTAAATATTTTATATGAGCTTCTACTTGAAAATGTGACACTGGCGCCTTTCGTTCCGTCGCTTCGTGCCTGCTACTCTTAGTGGCGTGTGGACCTCATGCCCATCCCCCACCATGAGCTCACACTTGGCGGCGCTGCCATCCAAGATTAAGGGGTCCCCGGCGAGGAGCCGGGTCAACATGCCTGGACCGCCGCATGCAATAAAAGTCCTGCGCGGTGCCGCGCCCTTGGGCCTTTGAGTGCGCAACCCAGTGGCCGGGCCAGATGGAAGACTCCACGGAGGTAACGGATGATACAAGCTCCAAGACCTGGTCTCCCCAGGTTTCCTGGCAGCGGCTGATGCTAAAGAGAGCATTTATCTTTGGAGCTTGCCTAGGCTAAGAGGCCAAGTCTTCCTCTAGACCAGGCAGCTTCCAGTTTGCCGTTCCCTGCCTCAGCTTTGACCCACTGGGTGTAAGGGCAACACCTAACATCTCAATACTGTCTAGAGTTTGGAGAGACCTTGAGAAAGAAGACCCAGGCAAAGATGAACAGGTTATGGACAAGTTCTATAAACAACCTTTTGCCTTGGTGAATATACCTGTGACTACTGGTTGATCAATAAAGATTGTTGAAGTGTCAAAAAAAAAAAAATATGTGACACTGGCAAAATATACATTAACCAGTGGCCAGATCAATTACTTAAATAAAGAATAACCAAAAATTGTATGTTTTCTTGTTAATTTGTATAAGCTAATATAATAGGAAAATAACTTTATCAAATGTATTCAATACAAGAATTGACAGGTTGAAATGACACATGCTTGATTCTCATGATGTATGCAAACAAACACACTGCCTGATAATCTCAGGGTAAACTGTTAAGTGGTTAAAAAGCCACTTATCACAAAGCCATGTAGGGCAGTGCATGCTTGTAATCCCAGCACTCTGGGAGGCTGAGGCAGGAAGACTGTAAATTGAAGCCCAGCCTAGGCAACTTAGCAACTTTGTGCCCCACATAAAAAAAATAAAAAGGGCTGGGGATGCGCCTCAGTGCAAAGGCCCCGAGTTCATCGCTAGTGCTAGGGAGAAATCATTAAAAGAATAGTAGACTTCTCAATGTACTAAGCCCCTTGAATAAGCCAAGGACAGGGGGAGCTCTGTCAGCGAGGCCTGGGCAGCACCTCACAGGGCTCCTTGCTTTTATGGGGGAACCCTTAAACACATGCAAATCAAGAAGTATATTCTGAGTTTCATTCAAAGGTCCAATTCCAAAGCAAAGCCCCCAGTCCCTGCCATTGTCCTGCTTACCACTGCCTGGCTGGAGCTTTCCTGGAGATCCCAGAGCAGGATGTGGTTATCGGCCAAAGAAATGACTTTCTTCCCGTCTCCCATTGGCTCCCACGTGATGCTGAGAGGAAGAGAAATGCCAAGGATCAACGGAGACACTGCAAGTACTCGCTGACCCGCCTGCCTCTTGGAGCACTATGGCCAACAGCATGATGCCTGCTGCTGCGGATGGGGCTGTGGCCCTCAAACACTAATGTTGCAGCCTTGTGCCCCAAGGAACAGTGTTTGGGGAGTGGCAGCACCTTGATGACCAGAAAGCTGAGAGAGAGGAGGTCAAGAAATCTGCACCAGGACCAGGCTGCCCAGCCTGTGACAGAGGGCCCGTCCACAGCCCAGTCGATCCCACCCAATTCAATGTGTGTGCCAACAGTTAAGTCCTATCACCTCCCAAGTAAAAGCTACAAAGACAGCTGCGTCTGCCAGCACGGGAGATCAGTGCCTGGAGGACCAGAGAGGCAGCACTCATGAGGCGCGCCAGGACATTCTGCCAAATCCACAGGCATGGGCTCTGTGGGGAGAGGACAGCCTCAGAGAACTGCTGGTGAGCAGCCAGTCAAACTCTCGAAACACTGATTTTTAGAAAGCTAAGGGACGGCAGTAATGCACACTGTGGGTTGAGGCAGCATCAAGTTGGGGAGGCATCTGAGTAGCTCCAAGCCTCTGCCTGGATAAATGGGGCCGGAGATGATCTGGACAGGACAGGAGCAGGGAGAACAGAAAAAGCCCACGTCCTTGTATCTCTAGGATGCAGACTCAGCATGCAGGCACTTTGGCCTGGCCCGGGCCACCTAGGGTGAATGCAGTGGCAGCCAGCAGCCACCTGTGCTCTCGGGCTGTTGTCCTACCAGCTGAACCTATGCAGAAACCAGGCAGGGGTGGAGGCTGGTAGAGAGCCTACTCGCTCTCACACTGCCCTTCCCAGGGAGAAACAATTCAGCCAGAGTATGACCTGGTCCCTGCACTGAGGCATATGAGACCTGGTTATAGTGTGTGTGTGTGTGTGTGTGTGTGTGTGTGTGTGTGTGTGTTTTCCCACATCAATGGCTATTTTGTAGTTTCCTAACTTTGGTGTTTCATTACTTGGCTTTAATCTCCCTATCCTTTTACTTTCCATTTAAACTCCAGTCTCTCCTTTTTTCACACTGTCTCAAATCTCTCCTCCCTCCTCTCTTCTTATACATAAATATTACCATTAATGCCTCCTTTTTATTTATTTATTTATTTTTGGCCTATCTTATGTTATTACCCTCCTTTGTTTTTCTGGGTAGGTGGAGTGGCAGGAAACTTTTAAAATAAGTTTCATTTGTCGATATATAGTTGGTTCTTAGGATGTGTATATTACTGGTAGCTAACGTTCTCCACAGAAAGTTCTTCCAGGGATGAACCTAGGACTTCACAAAGGGTCAAGGAGATGTTCTCAAACTGACACACACTCATCTGCGGCATGTCGCAAAGACAAAGCCATTTGTTAAAAAAGACCTTGAGTATGACATCCATGTCAACTGATCTGCAAACTTCAACACAAAAGCACAGGAATCACAAAAAATAAAGCAACAAAATGGTTTCCCAAAATTGGAAACTCCTGCATTGATATCTGGTTCCAAAGATACCAATGTGGTAAAATTCCACAGAATTTTAAAATTAACCCACAGATGATAGAAATAAGCAGCTGGATGAATTAAGGAAGACTACACAGGAAATGAAAGACCGCTCCAGCAAAGAGACAGGGAATCTAAAACAGAACATAAACAGAAATCCTGGAAATAAAAACCTCAATCAAATAAGAAAAACTCAATTGAAAGTTTCAGCAGGGAGTTAGATGAATCAAAAGGAAAAAAATATCAAGGTTTGAATACACAATAGATATATTAAAATGTTCAGTGGGAATAAAGAAAACATAAGACTGAATGGTAAGAGTGTTCAAGAGCTCTTGGGCCTCTCTCTCTCTCTCTCTCTCTCTCTCTCTCTCTCTCTCTCTCTCTCTCTCTCTGAACCAGGGATTGAACTCAGGCCCTTGGGCTTGCCAGGCAAGCACTTATTCTACTGAGCTATCTCCCCAGCTCCTGGGCAAACTCTCAAAGAACAAATTTAAGACTCACAGGCCTCAAAGAGTATGAAGAAGTACAGGCTAATGGATATTCACTGAAATTGTAGAAAAGAATTTCCCAAATCTGGAGGATGGGATGGATACCCAGGTACTAGATGCACTTAGAACCCCAAATAGACACGACCAGAAAAGAAGCGTTCTATTACACATCAGTCAAATTGAAGGAAAAAAAAATCCAACCTAGATTATTATGTCTAGGTTATCCTTCAAAACAGTAATGAAAATAAAGACCACCCAAGATAAGATATCTACCATTAAGGGTTTGATCCCCAGTCCCACATGCCATGCTGGCCCCACCCCTGCGATGCACTGCGCTGGCAAGAATGGGCATGGGGGCACACGCCTGTAATTCCAGTGCTGGGGAGGCGGATAACAGGAGGGATTAGTACAAGTCTGAGCTGCATAGTAGAACTCTGTACCAAATACATAAAATGAAAAAGAAAGAAAGAAAGAAATTTACCACTAGCCTAGTACTGCAGAAAGTACTCAAGGGAATAGGAAACATATACGAAAAGATAATCATAACCATAAGACCAAGTAAAAGAATATCTCCCTGAGAGTAGATAAATGAAAATCACAACTGAATTAAACATTAAAAATATAGCAAGTGACAAGAATTTGTATATATATTTCAATGTTTCAATAATAACACTTTATGAAATGGTCTTAATTCTCCAGTTAAAATACAGACTGGCAGATCAGATTAAGATACACACACACACACAAACAAACACACAAACTATATTTTGCCTGCAAGAAACACACCTCAGTGAAAAAGAAATACAGACTAAAAGTGAAAAGCTGGAAAATAATTCTCTAAGCAGCTAGAGCCCCAAAGCTAGCAGCAATAGCTATAACATCTGACAAAACAAAATTCAAACTAAAATTTGAAGACAAATAAAGCCACTCTATATTGGTAAAAGGAAAAATTCACCAAGATATGTCAGTTGGAAATACAGTAACACCATGCTTCATGAATGCTTCTGTTCATGAACAATGTGGTTTGCAAACAGAAACATTCAGCAAAATTTTGTTTCCATGTAGCCATCTTCCAAAGAACTGCAGAACAAATTAACTTCATGAGCCAAGGAACCACTACATACACCCCACATAGGCACACTTGATTTCATAAAGCAAACATGACTTTAAAATGCAGCAACAGGGCCTGCGTACACAGAAAGCAGTGGCTGGGGATTCCCTGGCGTGCCTTGCCGGTCCTGCCCACGGGTGCACTAAGATGGCGATCGAGACTGGGTGTGGTGGCACATGCCTGTAATCCCAGCACTTCCGAGACTATAAACAAGAGAATCACTATGAATCCAATCTGTGTAGTGAGACCCTGAACACCCTGTAGGCCCTGCCCTAAATACGGGGAAAAACCCCAGAAAACTCAGCAACAGTGGCTGACTGTAATACCTGCCATAGATACCACTGGATCTGAGCTTGGTGCTGTGTTCCAGGGAACTGGGGAAGTGCTGAGAGAAGACACATCCCAGTAACCAGGGCAGTGGGCAGCACAGTCAATGGTGAGGGCAGGCTTCTTTAAAAGTATCAAGAACTGCAGGGCTGGGGAGTTGCGTTAGTAGAGTAAGCACTTCCCTGGCAAGCGCAAGGACTTGAGTTCAATCTCCAGTAAAAGAACTGGGAGATAGCTCAACGGCATAAGCACCTGCCTGGTAAGTGCAAGGTCCCCAGCTCAATCCCCGGTAACACACACACACACACACACACACACACACACACACACACACACAGTGTCAGGAACACTCACATGACCACCTTCACACAAAGCCAAAACTTACCAGGCGGCTTATTTTAAGGGAGGACGTATCTGGGAGCAGCTCTGCCTGTCATGGGTTCTGAACCGCAATGCCTCTGGAGTGCCTACATTTCTCTGGTGTCCTTCTGCCCAAACCCAGCCAGATGTCTCCTAATGTCCCCCAGGGTCTGAGAGTGTCCCTGAGCTCCAGGTCCTGCCCAGTGAAGTTGTCAGTCTGTCTTGTTCTCAGGCCGCACGTGGTGGGAGCTCCCCACACGCTTGGCCTCTGAGGATGTAAGCACAGCACACACTAGAGTGCCAGGGACACCGGGCTGGGGCTCTGCCCTGAGAGCAGCCCACGAGCACCATGCGGCAGGTGTGCCTGGAGGGCAGGTTTCCTTCTGCTCTGAGGATGTGCTGTTCAGCAGATACTGAGCCACCTCTGGCCACAAACCAAGATGGCGTCTGTCACATCTGGGAGGGCCCATGCGGTACGCCCTGAGGTCTATGAGTTCAGAGCACAAAGGAGCGCACCATTTGCACAGTGCAGGTGTTGATCTTGCCACATCATCTGGGTGACCCACAGATTCCAAGACCAAGGAAGGGAAGTAAAACATAAAATAAAAAGTAGGTACTAATATTAGGTATGGTACCAGCAGTTTACTAACTTGTGTTTTTAAAAAAAGCTAGATTGGCTCAGGAGATAGCTCAGCAGTCTAAGCGCCTGCCTGGCAAGCGCAAAGACCTGGGTTTGATCCCTGGTACCACATGCTGTGCTGACCCCGGAACCCTAGGTGCTCCATGCCAGCCACTGAAACCGGGCAAGGTGGCACATGCCTGTAATCCCAACGCTCGAGAGGCTGGGCCAGAAAGACTACTACGAGTCCAAGCTGCATAGCGAGACTGTACCAAATAAGTTAATAAATAAAAGATTTTTTAAAAATAAAAATCTAGATTAAGGAGAATGCAACCAACCATTCTGGGGTGGATGAGTAAGCTCCCTATTTTTTTTTCCATCTGGGATTAATCTAAATGGGCTGTAAAGGCTGTGGTAGGACAGGCTGCAGATGTTCTCAAAGACAAAGGCATGAAAGCCACCAAACATGCCACATGAGAGTCACCATTTCCAACAAGAAACACCTCTCAGTTTCCACTGCTGCCCATACCACAGGTCCTAGGAAGATGGGGGGCACAA